TGACTAGGAGGGACACAGAAAGCCATCTGGGAGCTAGGGGGTGAAGAGGGGCATGATGGTGGGGCCGAACAGGGAGAGGTCGTGTCCTATTTTACTGCTGTGATCTGGTCATCCTATGTTACCCCCCACCCCCAAACCTTCCTTTTCTTCGTTTTTGGCCCACAGCTGTTTCGGCGGGGCGGCGCTGGGGAAGCAGAGTTTGTTTCCGTGGGCCGGGAGGCGCTGGGGCGGGGGGGAGGAGGGCACAATTTTATATTAATAAGGAAATATTTTATAAATTTTAATAAAATAAACATTATTGAAGAAAATCAGTTGTACAACTATCAAAACATGAATTATTTTCCTAATATGAAAGTGAAAATCAGCTAATATATAATTTTGTTATTATTTATATAGTCATGGAAAGTAAATAATACATGGAAGAAATGAAAGGGTTCTTTTTAAGTGGCTTTTTTTTTAGTCATCCCTGCTGGGGCCCCGTCGAAATTGTTCGAATTGGGCCCCGCACTTCCTAAAGCCGGCCCTGCTGGGGTGGTTCCCAGATTTCTCCCTGCTTCTTCCCAGCAGAGGAACATCATGGAGAGGGGGAAGTGATGACACACAGATACAGCTCCCCCCCCCCCCAACATTCCTCCATGGCTCCATAGAGGATTCAGAGAGAATGAGGAGCAACACTAAGTGCTCTATGCATTCTGGTCACTTTCCCCACCTGTGCTGTGCTGTGAGGCAAGCATCAGAAGCTACTGCTCTCTGCCCTGCCCTTATGCAGCCCGGGTGAGGAAAGTGACCTGGATGCAGGGATCTCTGATGTCGCTCCTCCCTGCCCCCCCAGAGCTCCCAAGGCGTGCACAGAGGAGCAGCTTTCCAGGGAGCAGGCAGCAATGCCAGCTGCTCCATGCACACAGGTCAGTGTCCTCATGTGGGTGCAGGAGGGGCGCAGGGGTTGGGGTGAAGGAGGTGTAGGAGGAGGGCAGTGGCTGGGAGCACAGGAGGGGAGTGCAGGAGTTAAGAGCAAAGGGGACACAGTGTGGGGGTTAGGGCAAAGGAGGGGGCAGGGGATGGGGTGAAGGAGGCACAAAGGTTGGGAGTGCAGGAACTAGGGGGAAAGGGGGAGTTGGGAGCCCACAGGGGCCAGGGGCAATGGGGATGTGCCAAACTGCAAGTTGTGCCCAGGGTGCCATTTTCCCTAAGGCCGGTCCTGGTGGGGTGTTTCCCCATTGATAACATTTCTTGCCGGGAGGGGAGGAAGAGAAAAGAGGTGTTTTCTCTCTGTTTCTTTCCTCTCCATTTTTCCCCATTCCTTCAATTCCAGAATCCTCCCTTGTATTTCAGACTGGGATTAAAGGCAGCTCCAGACTTTCCCTTTCTCCCTTCTGGGAAATCAAGTTCAAGTTTTTACAGGGAGCTAAAGAAGCCTCAATGCTGCATCTGAATTAATGTCACATTTCCCACTTCTTGACAGAAAAAAAATGTCATTTCGATCCCAGGTGAGTCCATTTCAGTCATTCCTCAGCCTGATTCTTTCACCCTCATGCCTTAGGGCATTGCGACAATGTGTGGGCATTTTGTTTTCCTCCACAGTTTCATACAGAGGCACAATTTCCTTTGCACAGAGCCATGAACAGCAAAACCTCCCTGTGTCTCTTGTCTGAGCCAGGGCATTCAATTGTATTGAAACCTTCTCTCGTGCAGTGGCAATGGTCAGACAGAGGGGACGTGGCTACCTTCAGCCCTGACAGTGAGATATTTGCTCTCCTCTTTCTTCAAGCTGCTGTTGTTATTCCATAAAACATGAACCATGGAATAAAAGCTGAGTTTACTCCAGGGTGAGGAAAGAAAGGAGCCACCAACTCCCTGAAAAATCTTAGTGCCCCAGAGAAAAGCTGCCCCTGTTATTGATGTGCTGGAGATATGTTGGGAAAAGGGACTGTCTGAATTGCCAAGGCAGGGAATGAACAATCTACAACAGTGGCTCTCAAACTTTTGTACTGGTGACCCCTTTCACATAGCAAGCCTTTCAGTGCGACCCCCCCCTTATAAATTAAAAACACTTTTTTATATATTTAACACCATTATAAATGCTGGATGCAAAGTGGGGGTTGGGGTAGAGGTTAACAACTCGCGACCCCCCATTTAATAACCTCACGACCCCCAGTTTGAGAACCCCTGATCTACAGCAACATTATTAACCACAAACACACTCTAATCATGCTCCAGCCAGTAGGGAAATGGGCAGGAATTCTTGCTGTTCAGCCATGGCCACGCTTACAGAGCTGCACAGCAGTGAGCGTGCTGTGGAAGCTGGTCTGAGCAAACAATTGGAAATGACCATTCAGTGAGAATAGAACCATAGTGTAGAAAAGCCCCTGTGCTAAGTGGTTATGGCTGACTGCTTAGGGAGATGGGCTAGAACACCATGGGCGTCTTTCTGTGGAAGTTTGATTCTTGCCAGCTAGGCAAGGCTGGTGTGTGGTGTTTTTATGGCTGTACTTTCAGTGTCTGATCACCCACGGTGCCACAGGGAGCCAAGTCTAGACTTATTCAGAGGCTAAGGACAAGTCAACATTTCAAACATTGAGTCTACATTACTGCAGTTCAGTAATGGAGATGCTCTATGCGAGGGTTTCTCAAACTTCATTTCACTGCAACCCCCTTCTGCTAAATACCTTACTACATGGCTCTGGAAAGAGGGACCAAGCACCAAGCCCCTCCACACTGGTCGGGGGAGGAGGCCAAAGCCTGAGCCCTGCCCCAGTGGGGGGAGGGCTAAACCAAAGCTTGAGGGATTCAGCCCTGGGTGGTGGGGCTCAGAATGTTGGCTTCCGCTCCAGGCCCCAACAAGTCGAATGCCAGCCCTAGAGACCCCATTAAAACAGGGTCATGACTCACTTTGGGGTCCTGACTCAGTTTGAGAACCACTGCTCTAGGCTGAGGGGAGAGAGTTTTCCTGTCAGTGTAGTTAATCCACTTCCCTAAGAGGTGGCAGCTATGTCAGTGGGAGAAGCTATACGTGGGTGTGCAAGCTGTGGTGTTTACCACATTTAAGAAGTTTAATCAAACCCATTTTTAAAACCACTGTGGTCTGGGAATGGCAAAGGAGCTCAATGAAGCAGGGGCTGTACTTCAAAGTCCTGGAGATCACAATTTCATGCTACTGTTGTCATGGGGATATAGCTCAGTGGTAGCGTGTTTAACTACAGATCAAGTGGTCCTTGGTTCAAACCCAAGTGCCCTCTTATAAGTCTTTTTTTTTTTTTATTTTTAAAGGAAAACATTTTTTTTTCCATTTTCCCTTATGTTCAGGAGCTCCACTATACGGGGATGCTTGAAATGAATGTAAACACTCAACATTTCACTGTCCAAATGCATAAAAACCTAGCAAACCAGTCCATCAGCTGAAATCAGTTCCAATCCTCCAAGTGTCTAGTTTATGTTTTCATCAACTAAACAAAGGTATAATATGAATGTACATTTGCAGATTCCCTCTTCTCCATGGGTTATGTTTTGCAGAACAACAAGAACCACATCCGTTGCAGTTCAGGAGTCTGATGAGAAAAGGCAACTTGGTGCAAGTCACCAGCACCTTGGCTCCTTCACATTCAACCAGCAGCTGGGCCCCCAGGACAAGGAATGAGAAGAAGACAATGGCTGTGAGCAGGAAAATAACCACCAAGAAGCTGGCTAAAGCTGTCAAGATCCCCAGGAAGGTCACCAAGTCCATGTCTAGAATGTGGTTGTGGAGATTAATGGAAGGAGGAGGCACATGTCAGAGCCCTCGGGGGTCTCATGTCAGGGCCCTAATGGGGCTCTAGGTGATCGCTACTTCCCACCACCGCACACAGATGTAATGAGGTTGAGTAGTGTCCGCAAAAGAGAAACTAAACAACTAATTATTCCTCAAGAAAGGTTTTTAATGATTTACGAGTATAAAGGCAACACAGACAGAATAAGAAAAACAGAATTAAAGACCAGCATTGAGTGAGGATTAATACAAATGGCAAGTTATACTGGAGACAAGTACAAGTAATATGCATTAACTACCTATTCCTTTAAGTGCACATATAAAAATTAAATAATATTGAAAATAGTTACAAGCACATGCAACGCTACTATTACTGATTGCCTAGCAACTTCACATGTACTGTAACCACCCTTAAATACAATTCTATATGCAATACTAATACAGATTAACTATATTTTACTAACTTTAACCTACCTATAACCTTATATAACAATTTATAAACTTGTATTGACTTTTATGATAAACTTGATGGTAACTTATACTGAAGACAGGCACAGCGACTTGTAAAGCTATTATGGTTTATAAACTACTAGCTTCACCAGCACTGTACCCACTTTCAGCTAGGCACAAAATATATACAGTTATTATATATTGATTAACTATTGACTAAAACATCTCTACCTCAATATAACGCTTTCCTCGGGAGCCAAAAAATCTTACCGTGTTATAGGTGAAACCGCATTATATTGAACTTGCTTTGATCCACCGGAGTGCGCAACCCTGCCCCCCCGGAGCACTGCTTTACTGCATTATATCCGAATTCGTGTTATATTGGGTGGCATTATATCGAGGTAGCGGTGTACTATTTTTAAAGAACATAAACAATTTACTAATATAATTAAACTATAATATTAATACAGATTTAAGATTAACTAGCTCGAGTACAACCAGACGTTTTCACTCCGAAACCTTACCCTGCATTCTTCCAAAGATACATTACCTTCAGTTGACCGTTTCCTGCACTGGCCAGGCACAGATAGTGGGTGAAGCACAAGCCCCTTTGGTTCAGGGGGTGTATGTGAGCCTGACAAAGAGTGATCTCTTTTAGGTCAACACATATACACACATACTTGCATCTTTGAACCTTTTATATGGTATTTGCTGGCCGTGTTTTAAAACAAGTCAACCAAGGAAGGTGGACAAATGTTTCAGTGTGGTATTTGCGGTTGTTTTGAACTTAAGAACTGTGCAACTGTGCTTAGCTCATCTCTTTCTCTATGCGGCTAATTGTGGTCAATTTGCTAGATGCAAAAATGCTCGAGTAGCTTAAAGAGGTATTTGGATGCAGACCATAGTAACCACAAGTCTATCTATCTTTACAGAGTTTCCTTTTTAGTCTATAAAACTTCCTAGAAAGATTTTGCTTATGCTTGCAGGATTCAACTGTATTCACTTATTGCAAGTTCCGGAAGGTTGAGGCCTAACGGTGCTTAGCCTGACATTACTTGACAAGACTTATGCACATTAATCACAGTTTAGACTAGGAAAAGTGATGAAGTTTAGATCAGGTCACGGGGAAAGCTAATGCCAACCACTGCACCTGGGCTGCATCTGCACTACAACTATAATGGTCTTTTTACACCAAGATCATTAACTTGAGCAGCCAACGCCATGTACAGTCCTAGTGGACGTAAGGCACAGGTAGTTTTTGCCTCAGTGTAGCTTGTTGGGAATCAAACCCCTCTCTCCCACCTGGCGCTGATGAACATTCCTGGCTGGAGGGACACACATTCCTGTGACTCAAAAGGAAAGCAGTTGACAGAAAAGATCAGAGGACTGACCCCAAAGAAGGTGAGATGCAAAAGGCAGAAGCAGGCAACTCATCTGGTGGACCTGAGAGACCACAGTGAAGATGGTGCAAAAATCACTATGTGGGATTTAGCAAATGTGATTTTTAAAAAAAAAAAAAATCTTTGCCCAGCCCTAATCAAGGCATGTGTTACAGTTCTCTCATGTGGATTTTCTGAAGTCTAATCAGGTGTGAGCTCTTTTTGAGGCATTTCCCACACTCCGAGAATCCATAAGGTTTCTCACCAGTGTGGATTCTCTGATGTATAATCAGGTCAGAGCTCCAATTGAAGCTTTTCCCACACATGTGAAGGGTGTCTCTCCTGCGTGGATTCGACAATGTGAGATAAGTTGTGAGTGCTGACTAAAGCTTTTCCCACACTCAGATCATGTGTAAGGCTTCTCTCCTGTGTGGATTCTCTGATGCGTGATAAGGTTTGAGCGATCATTGACATTTTTCCCACATTCAGAGCATGTGAAGGGCATCTCTCCTGTGTGGATTCTCCTACGTTTGCTCAGGGTAGAGCTGTGATTAAAGCTTTTCCCACACTCAGAGCATGTGTAGGGTGTCTCTCCTGTGTGGATTAGCTGATGTGAGATGAGGCTTGAACTATCAATGAAGCTTTTCCCGCACTCAGAGCACGTGTAGGGCGATTCTCTCCTTGTGTGGATTCTCTGATGTGTGATAAGGGTTGAGTGCTGACTAAAACTTTTCCCGCACTCAGAGCACGTGTAGGGCTTCTCTCCTGTGTGGATTCTCTGATGTGTGATAAGAGTTGAGTGCTGCCCGAAGCTTTTCCCGCACTCAGAACACATGTACGGCTTCTCTCCTGTGTGGATTCTCTGATGCGTGATAAGGTTTGAGCGATCATTGACATTTTTCCCACATTCAGAGCATGTGAAGGGCATCTCTCCTGTGTGGATTCTCCTACGTTTGCTCAGGGTAGAGCTGTGATTAAAGCTTTTCCCACACTCAGAGCATGTGTAGGGTGTCTCTCCTGTGTGGATTAGCTGATGTGAGATGAGGCTTGAACTATCAATGAAGCTTTTCCTGCACTCAGAGCACGTGTAGGGCTTCTCTCCTGTATGGATTCTCTGATGTATGTTGAGGGCTGAATGATCACTGAAGCTTTTCCCGCACTCAGAGCACGTGTAGGGAGTCTCTCCTGTGTGGATTCTCTGATGTGTGATGAGGGTTGAGTGCTGACCGAAGCTTTTCCCACACTCAGAGCACGTGTAGGGCTTCTCTCCAGTGTGGATTCTCTGATGTCTGATAAGGGCAGAGCTACAACTGAAGCTTTTCCCGCACCCATGGCACGTGTAGCGTCTCCCTTCCAAGTTGATTCTGCCATGTGTTATAAGATCTGAGTGGCTACTGAAGTTTTCCTCGGGCATCGGCTGAGTCTCACAGCCTTTTGCTTTTTCCGGGAGTGCACAACACCCGGAAACATTCCCTTTGGACCTTCCTGATAACGTTCCATGTGATTCTACTTGCTCAGCATCTTCCTGCTGGGGTTTCCCCTCCTCATTCTCACTCATCATCCCATCACCTGAATGGGAGACAAAGAGAATCCAGACATAGGTCACTCCTTGCGCCAGAAAGAAAAGAAATCTCAGAGAGAGGAATGGAAACCGGATGAACAAACCAAAATATGTGTGGGAGATATCAAACCTATCAGGAGCTGCTTTTCCGCACACCCTTCCCCATAGGAGAGAGGAAGGGATCAGTTTTGGTCCACATCTCACCAGAACACTCAGGAGAATGTGAGATCGGGGAGGGACCTGCCGCCAGTTGTCAGTCAGAATACGAGGGAAGTCATGAGTGACATCTGCCATCATGATTCCACATCTGCAGGGAACAATCCTGAACTTGGAGAGCTCACAGGGTCTTAGTAGGGCATTCCAAATGTTTCCTGCATTCCCAAACAGTTTTTGAGTTGGTTTAACCAATTCCTCACCTGTGGAGGCAGCTCTCAGGAGCACTTCTTTCTCAGAGCCCTGGAGGTCTGGGACCCATGGCTCTACCCCTCGTTCCAGCTGCAAGATCACATCAGGTTTGGAAATTGGAAACCCTACTGCAGGCAAAGAAAACAAGGGAGGTCAGTGGAATTTGTGGGATACTTGTCACAAAGAATATACCATGGTTTTAACCCCAGTTCATTTTTAAGCAGTAACATCCCAAGGCCAGCTTCCTTGGCTCAAAGTGGCAGGAGAGTTATTATTATTATAAACCATATTCATTACCTTAGTGCCTAAGGACCAACTAACAGTGGGTCGCCATTGTGCTAGGCAAAGTACAAACAGAGAATAGTAGACGGCCCATGCCCTGAAGAATTTACAATCTAAATAGACAAGACAGACACAGAATGGGGGAAGGGGTAGAACCCACTGTTAGAATAGAGATATTCAGGCCTGTCTATAAAGCCTATACTTTAAGAACTTAGGTGTATTTTTATCACTTTGTCTTTATACCCCTGTAACTAGATAAGAATCAAAATCACAGTCTGCCTGTGTCTGGGCCTTCTCTCACTAGGAGAGTCTGAGGCCTTGTTCTTAGGCCTTTGGCTAAGCAGCAAGGGCAGTGTAGTGAGTCGGTGTGGCTCCCCTCCTGCCCAGAAGAGGGAGCCCACGTGCAGACCCCAGAGTGGGTGGGACCACCACCGCCTGTCCCCGCCCCCCGGAAGTCAAGGGGCGGGACAGGAAGTATAAAGGCCGGCCGCCAGAGCTCAGTCTGCGGCCAGCCACCACAGGGAGTAGACGTGTGGCCGGGAGCTCCCGGCCAGGAGACTGCCGAAGGCCGAGGCCGGGACCCTAGCTGGCCCGAGTTACCCAGGGCACGCTACGAGGAGGAGCCACCGGAGCCCATCCGATACCGTCACTGGGAGAATCCCTGGGAACCCCACCCCACCAACCCTGAGGGTGAGACTGCACCCAAACCCCTCCGCCCCTGCTGCTACCCAGAGGAGCCGCCTGAGGACCGTTGGCCTGACTTCCCGGCCGAGCTACCGGACCTGCCACCGAGCCCTGGCAGAGAGGAGCCCATGCAGATGGACTGGCCCGAGCCCGGCGCGATGAACGAGGTAGGCTTTGAGGGGGATCGTGGAAGTAGCCCGGGGGTAGCCGACCCCGGTCCGGCTGCAACTGAGTGTGAGCCTATGTCAGTGTGTTGCGGTCTGGATACCCCACTGACCAGCAGCGGCAGCAACCGCTGTTAGGGCTCCGGGCTGGAACGCAGTGGAGTGGGTGGGCCTGCGTTCCCCCCTGCCACCCTCCGCTCACGGGTGGCAGGCTTCCCCCTCACCCAACGCTCGGCTACAGCAGCCTAGGCATACCCTGTGCCTCTGAACTGTCTGCCCGCTCAGCCCCTGCAAACAAGGGCCTGAGCTAAACTGTGTTTGCCCCGCCCTGATCCAGGGCCCGGGCTTTGAACTATTTGCTCGCTCAGCCCCTGCAACAAGGGCCTGAGCCTAACTGTGTTTGCCCCGCCCTGATCCAGGGCCCGGGCTTTGAACTATTTGCTCGCTCAGCCCCTGCAAACAAGGGCCTGAGCCTAACTGTGTTTGCCCCGCCCTGATCCAGGGCCTGGGCTCTGAACTATTTGCTCGCTCAGCCCCTGCAAACAAGGGCCTGAGCCTAACTGTGTTTGCCCCGCCCTGATCCAGGGCCCGGGCTTTGAACTATTTGCTCGCTCAGCCCCTGCAGTCAAGGGCCTGAGCTTTAACTGTGGTTGCTCCGACTCTGCACCAAAGAGCCGGAGTTTCGGGACTAACTGACTGCTTGTTCCCACAGTAGTGAGTCGGTGTGGCTCCCCTCCTGCCCGGAAGGGTCGAGCCCCGGCTAGGACCTATTACATGCAGCCATAAGCTGGGAAGCGAACGGTCACGTCCTCACATCCCAAACCAGTCACACTGAAATAAGGTGCTATTGGGCTGTTAGGAAGACGATCCTGTCCGTATAGCGCCCATCACCACCAGATAAAGAAACAGATCTTAAGATAGTTAAAGAAAACTTAGTCTGATAGCATCCTGTTGTAGCCCTCAGGTTTAATCTGCTTATTTGCATAGATATATCTTTTCTTATAAATTTGAGTATTTGATGTAATAGGTTTATAGATTTATATTAAAAATAAGTTTGACTGTAATGCAAGAGACCTACAGGCTAAAACCCTGTATGTTAAGCTAAGGCAAAGTTAGAATATCTATATTGGGACCCTTTACCCAAAAAAGTAAAGATGACCCAAATAGATAAAACACCCATGCAGATGTATAGAGACCTTTACCTAACCCAATACACAATGCAGGATGGCAAAGGGGATTTTTCAAAGTTGTACCCACAGACGTAACAAGTACACCACAAGTGCGTACATACCGGTCATCCATATGCACAAACATACTAGCCTATGAGGTAAGTGTACCCTAACATTTCTGTGGGGGAAGGATGAAATTTGGGCATAAGAGGAAGGATTTCTGACCAATGCTCTATAAAAAGATGATTCATCTTGCCATTTTAGAGGCAATCTACTCTTCATTGTCTCCATCTTCAAAAATGTATCAATGCTCCCCATCTACGACGGCTATTAACTATTACTAGGCCACACTTCGTTTCTTTTCAAACTTTAAGTTTTAAGGGGACTAGGCTAAGCTTGGTTTCCCTACGCTTTGTTTCAGTTTAAGGTTTATTAAGTTAAGTTAGAGAGTAAACAGCTTTAACAGCTCTTTGCATCAGTTTCCTCTGCTAGAGGTGTGAAGCCAGAACCGCCAGAGGTGGGGTCTTGTATCTTTCAACACCAGGTTATTAAAACAGAGTGAGAGTATTAATCAAAGTTTGCAGCACATAATATTGTATTATCATATGTATCTCTTAAATAACAGTAGTACAATTGCAACTCTGTAATTCTAACTGTTTTACCATCTGCTTACTATTTCATTGATTTTAATAAAAGATCTTTATGACTATATCTGTCTAAGTGTGAGCTTCCTGTCATACCCCCGAAGGTCCTTTTATAACATCCGTGAAGCCTGATTCAGGACGAACTTTTATCTTCTGCTCAAACAAATTGCGAGCCTAAACCCATGCTAATTAATATCAATAATAATTATCAATTAATTAAAAAAATAAATAAATAAAAATACATTAAGTGGATCAATTAAATCAACATTACTAACACACCCCAAATCAGGCTATACTGTCTGGCAAGAAATCACTTATCAATGGTTGTGAAACACTCATTTCTGTATTTTATCTTTATGGCCACCACTTTTACATTGTTAATCAGTTTGGTTCTCTAATTGTTTCTGTCTGGTGTATAATTAATTTTGCTAGGTGTAAGTTAATTAGGATAGTCGGATATAATTAGTTAGAGAATTATGTTACACTATGTTAGAATTGATTAGTTAAATTTCAGCATAATGATTGGCTAAGGTATAGCTGAGAATATTACTATATAAATGGAGTCAAACAGGAAAGGGAAGAGAAATTGGAATGATAGAATCATAGATTCTATGAATCATAGAATGTCAGGGTTGGAAGAGACCTCAGGAGGTCATCTAGTCCAACCCACTGCTCAAAGCAGGAAAAATCTCCAACTAAATCATCCTAGCCAGTGCTTTGTCAAGCCTGACCATAAAATCCTGTAAGGAAGGAGCTTCCACCCCCTCCCTAGGTAACCCATTCCAGTGCTTTACCACCCTCTTAGTGAAAAAGTTTTTTCCTAATATCCAACCTAAACCTCCCCGACTGCAACTTGAGTCCATTACTCCTTGTTCTGTCATCTGCTACCACTGCGAACAGTCTAGAGATCCATCCTCTTTGGAAACCCCCTTCAAGTGGTTAAAACCAGCTATCAAATCCCCCCTTACTCTTCTTTTCTGCAGACTAAATAATCCCAGTTCCCTCAACCTCTCCTCATAAGTCATGTGTTCCAGTTCCCTAGTCATTTTTGTTGCCCTCCGCTGGACGCTTTCCAATTTATCCACATCCTTCTTGTAGTGTGGGGCCCAAAACTGGACACAACACTTCAGATGAGGCCTCACCAATGTTGAATGTTTGTTAAAAGGGGTGGGAAATGGGAAAAGGGAACAGGGATACAGGCAAGCCTCGGCGGCATCAGAGCTGAGAAGGGGGACACAGAGTAAACGCTTTGTGGCATCAGAGCTGGGAAAGGAACACTGGGGAACAGACTGTATCGGCGTATAGAGATAAGCCTGACCGTTGTGAAAAGCTTCAGAATACGTAATCTTATAGGTGTAAAAATTGTACAGGCTATACTACCACCCTGTGACATCATCAACAAAGTGGCCATTTGTGCCTGGGTAGGGGCCCTGCTATGGGAGAGAAGAATGCAGCAAGGGACTCAGGATCAGTGGCTGGGTCGCTGTGCATAGAGATGGGTAGGGGGGTAATGAGTGGGAGAGGGAGGTGAAGGGTAAAAATAATAATATTTGGGGGAAAATTTATAATGAAGTGAAACTGAACAGAAATAAAACTGGATTGTAGGCTTTAAAGCAACAAGGGTTGGGTAGGGATTTGGGGTTAAAGTCTGGGATCCCCCACAGCTCTAGATCCCCAAACCTCTTCTCCCTCCCACTGACCCACCCAGCCCACTTTCTGGGTGCCCTTCCTCCACACTCCCCTCCCCTTCTACCCATTACTCTCAGCTATCACCACCTCCCGGTACCTTGGCAGCTTCTTGTATTCTCTCCTCATCTCTACCTCATCCCTCCCTGCTGCTTCTTAGCTCTCATCCTGAACACACCCTCCCCATGTCCTCACACACCAGAATTATCTACGCCCCTGCTTCTCCTCCCCTCCCATGGCTCTCTTATCCCTTCACCCGTGGGGGTCGTGAATGGCAACATTATACGCTCTCCTATCAAAAGAAGAGCTCATCTGACTGTCACACAACCCATGCATGAGTCATACAGCTATTTACTCAATTTAGAATTCTACAGATGGCATATTTTCCTGTTAAAATGAGGAAAAGGCATGAAAGCTACAGTTATTAATGTAGTTATTAATGTAGCCAATAAGGATACATTAAATACAATTTTAAAATGACTGATGGCACCAGAAAGGCACATGTCCAAAAATTATTCTAGTGGGTGGGACATAAGGCAAAAAAAGGAGAGCAAGGAAACATGTCCAAACTTGTATTATGAATAAAGGTATAAAGTTATTACTACTCAGGTTCTTTAGAGACAGCTTCTAATAACCAAGGGGACAGGACTCCTTACCCAGAAAGACCACCGTCTCATAGTTCTCCTGCATGACATCCCTGTACAGGGCTCTCTGAGTGGGGTCCAGCAGAGCTCCTTCTTCCCTGGTGAAATACAGAGCCACCTCCTCGAAAGTCACCGGCCCCTGAACGAGAAAGAGTCCAACACTCAGTACCTGCTGCCCCACTCACAACCCCACTATTCACGGAACAGCAGCACCAGGTAAATGGAAGCTCCGGGAGGCACATGTTAACAGAGTCCCACTTCACCTTCCTTAGAGCAGCCAGGAGGCATCAGAGGGTGGAAAGAGAGAACCTTTGTCTCTCCCAGCTGACAGACGGAGGCGGGGTCTTCACATTTATCACATACCTACTAGCCAGAGCTCGATATAGGAGATGGGGCTGTCTCTGGACCCTACTGGTGGCTCCCAGGTAGGAATTCCAACACACTCCAAATAAAATATATTGAAGGAAGGGGAAGTCAATAGTAAAGAATAAAAGTTAGAACGTCAGAATTGTAGAAAATTGGTAAGGAAAGCTATCAGAAATCAATGACCAATTAATGAAAATAAGAAGGAAGTTTTTAAAAAGTATATTAAGTACAAAATTAATCCCTAACAATGGTAGTGGTAAATTACTAGATGGAAATGGCAAAATTATCAAAAATAATGCAGAATAAATAAAAGTGTTCAATAAATATTTCTCTCCTGGATTTGGAGAAAAACAGTCATAGTCATATTATAAAATGTTGACAACGACACTCTTTCCATTCCAGCAATAACTCACAAGGACATTAAACAGAAAATATTACAGTTAGACATGTTTAAATCAGCAGATTTAGATAACTTGTATCCAAGAGTTTGAAAGACCTGGTGGAGGAGTGTGGAGGACTGTTAATGTTGATTTTAATTAGGACTTGGAACACTGGAGAAATTCCAGAAGACTGGAATAAAGCTAATGCTGTGCCAATATTTAAAAAGCGTAAAAGAGATAAACCTGGCTAATTACAAGTGTTAGTCTGACATCGATACTGGGCAAGATAATGGAGCAGTGAATATGGATTTAATTAATAAAGAATTAAAGGCGGGTAATATAATTAGTAAGCCAATTAACAAAGGTTCAGAGACTATAGAGTATATCAAACTAACTGGATGAGATAAAAAGTTTCGTCAGAGCTAATAGTATTGATGTAATAACACATAGACTTCTGTAAGGCATATGACTTGGTTCGGCACAACATTTTGACTAGAAAACTAGAAAGATACAAAATAAACACAGCATATATTAAATAAATTAAAAACTGTGATTGTAAATGGGGAACCATGTTCGAGTTGATTTATTTCCAGGGGGTTCCCACAAGGATTGATTCTTGGCTCTGTGCTATTTAACATTCTTATCAATGACCTGGAAGAGAATATAAAATTATCACTGATAAAGTTTGCCGTTGCCACAAAGATTGGGGGTGGTGGTAACTAATGAAGTGTCAGTAGATTCAGGCTTCAGCACTGGGAGTCTGGGAAGTTTTCCCAGCCTTGGCTGGAGGGCAATTTCCTGTTCCACAAAGAGGGGAAGTTCCATTCCCAAATCCTGTGCCTTGAAATTAGGCCCTATCTGACACTACACCCCATATTTGGCATAGTGGTATGATTATAAAATGATTAGGACATAATTATGATGCATTTTGTGCAAGATGTGTCATGTACAGTATCATTGGAAAAGTTATAGTTTGCTGATTATAATCCTACCTGTGTGCATGGATCATGTTTGTATCCGAAGTTATGGATATTGACTATGTATCTGTATTTCAAATGTGCTTACTCTGGGTAACACCCATAACGAGCCTTTCAGGTACAACAGTGAAGAAGCCAGACAGTGCTAATGGCTCATCAACAAAGACAATGGACCGTGGAAGAGCTTAGCCTTCCTGTGAATGTTCCAGCCAGCTTAGGAGTCATGGCTACTATGACTCAGCATGGCATGCTAGGGCATGTGACCAGACCACATGACACTGAACTCCATTTTGTACCTCTATTTTTCCACAAATTGAACTGGCAACTGAGTTTGGAACAAAGGGTTCCTGCCATGTGGAAAAGCTACATAAGGTGGGGTGTGACATCATCTCTTGGCCTCATTCCCCAGACAAAAGAACTCCTGGAAGCATCTGAGGAACAAAGACTGAACTGGGGGAAGTGTTGGCCCCAGGGTAAAGGGATTTCTAGCTTGTATATGGAAATTTGGTGGACTGCTTCTATCATCAGTCAGGTTGAGAAACTGCTAATTCAAATTCTATCCATCTAGTATATTAGGCTTGGTCTGAGTTTTTGGTTATTTGCTAAATAATCTGCTTTGATCTGTTTGCTACCACTTATCGCTGGGAAATTGGCTGTTGTCTTCTATCTGTCCTTGAGTGGCTTAGGTAAAGCACTCAGGTAGCTTAGTTGAGTGTATGGCACCACCTGCTCTCGTGTTGGCTGATAACAGGGCCTGGAGAGGCTGGCTGAATATCCAGCAAAGGAGTGAGAGAAGGGCCAGCCCAGCTTGAGGGTTAGAGGGCACAGCAGTTCACAGAAGTCCTCCAGACTGCACCCCCAGGTGACAACCCATCACACCCTAGATTACACAAGTCTCAGCAGGTTTGTCACATCCTGTCCCCTTCCTTTCCGCACCCTAGAGATTTCCTGCCTCCCACCACCTCGAGCAGCTCCCACCCTCCTATGCATTTACTGCTCCTCTCCCTCCAAGCAGAACCCACCACCAGCTCCCTGATAATCCCTTACCTGAGCCAGCTCCATTGCAGCCATTTCCTTCCCCCTGGGAGAATGGGATGATCTGGACTGAAACCTGGATGTTATTCTGTAGCCTGACAGGACGAGAAGGGCAATGTGAGAGAATTCAGATGGGGCTTTCGTCCATTCCACAAGCCAATTCCCCACAGGATTTTTCCCTGCTAATGGACATTCTAGGTTCTGCCACACTGTGAAGCACAGAGTGACCTTATTCCAATACAGGCCTAGCCCCCTCCCACCAGGATATAACCATCTGACACATGGTGAAACCCTCGCAATAACAGATTCTCTCTGTTACACTTATCAAGTTTGCGGAGGATACCAAGCTTGTAGGAGCTGCAAGTGCTTTAGAGGATAGGATTAAAATTCAAAATGATCTGGACAAACTGGAGAAATGGTCTGATGTAAATAGGATGAAATTCAATAAGGACGAATGCAAAGTATTCCACTTAGGAAGGAACAAGCAGTTGCACAGATAGAAAATGGGAAACAACTACCTTGAAAGGAGTACTGTGGAAAGGGATCTGGGCGTCACAGTGGATAACAAGCTATACATAAGTTAACAGTATAACACTGTTGCAAAATAAAATAAAATAAAATATCATTCTGGGATGTATTGGGGGAGTATTGTAAACAAGACAGAAGAAGTAATAATTAAGCAAAAGGCTTAAATTGCAGCAAGGACGGTTTAGGTTGGACATTAGGAAAAACTTTCTATCACAGTGATAAAGCACTGGAATAAATTGCCTAGGGAGGTTGTGGAATCTCCATCATTGTCAGGGATGGTCTAGATAATATTTAGTCCTGCCTTGAGTGCAGGGGACCGGACTAGATGACCTCTCGAGGTCCCTTCCAGTTCTATGATTCTATAAACCAAAGGCCACAGAAGAATCAAAGGAGGCACTTTGGGGGATTCTCCCTGTCATTGTCCCCAAGGCAGCTGTCTCAGGTTTACAAAATTGTTTGATGCTCCAGCCTTTATACAGTCTCTTTTGGGAGTGCCCCCTTTCATGGGCTGGGCCTAGTTTTAGCTTTTGGGAAGTGTGACCCCGGGAGCTCTGAAACTGGGCCTCCTTGCCTCAGGACACCTTGTTTCTTTCTGTGGCTCCCCAGTGAGTCCAAATGAGTAGATACTCCTTATAGAGACTGTGAACATAAGAACGGCCCACTGCATCAGACCAATGGTCCATCTAGTTCAGTGGCCAATGCCAGGTGATTCAGAGGGAATGAACAGAACAGGTAATCATCAAGTGATCCATCCCCTGTCACCCATTCCCAGCTTC